ATCTATCTATCTATCTATCTATCTATCTATCTATCTATCTATCTATCTAGTGTGTGTGTTATATTCCCACTGAGTAAAGACCTTATTAATCTGATAGTCCTTGTTCTGTGGAAGATACCCATGGCTATTTGAAAGAGAAATGTCCCATGTAAGATTGGGCTTTGGTACACTTGGTGTTGCTGGAGGAAGCATGTCCCTGGAGGTGGGCTCTTAGTGTTTAAAACCTTGAGCCACTCTCAGCTTACTCTCTCTGCTCTGTGCCTGTGGTTCATGATGTGTGCTTCCAGCCTATGCTCTGGCCACCACGCCTGCCTATTGCACAGCAGGAGAAAGTAACCATGATGCTTAGAAGAAAAAACCCTATAAACAAGCCATAAGTGGTGGCGCATGCCTACTATTCTAGTGCTTGAAAGTCTGAGACAGGAGGATGGTGAATTGGAGACCAGCATGGGCTACATACTAAGACCATGTCTTATAAAACAAAACAAAAGACCTTCTAAGAATACACATATCCCGGATTCAAATCAAGGCCGTCAGTGTTTTTTTCTGAGGGCAGCAGGTAGCAGCAGGGAGGAAGGAACAAGAAACAAGAAACCTGGGAATAAGAGAACTCCAGTCCTGTGACAGAGAAGACCACCTCGCCGCAGGTGAGAAGGAAGTACTGTGGGATCTGCAGAGCCATGTTCACCGTGTTGGGTGGAATGTCTTCAAATTCCTTCACTTCCAGACAGCCATCACTCTGGACCGTCCAAGCACCAAGCAGACCGTTGACACAGAGGCAGAGATACGCTTTAGAATAACAACCATTCAAATGGACACACCAAGCTGACCTTCTAAGGTTAAACAGGCGATTTACCTATTCACTGCCCATTTTTAAAGTAACTGTTTGGTGCTGGAAGCCTACCAGCTAAAACCCTGGTAATCACTCAGTCCTGAAGTCATATGACCCAGAAGGAGGCATCAAATACTGGTCAGCAGGAACTTTAAACTAGCGTAACTAAGCCTGCTGAAGTCAGCAATAACTGAGAAAGCCGGTGAGATGGCTCAGCAGAGAAAGGTGCTTGCCACCAAGCCTGAGCATCTGAGTTTGATCCCTGAGACTCACACAGGTTGTTCTCTGACCCTCCCTCTCCCTAATGCATGCAAACACACAGACACAGACACAGACACAGACACAGACACACACACACACACACACACACACACACACACACACACACACAAAACAAAGAATTAGCGGTGAGTTGGGTTAGTTCTGAGACCATTTACAGATCCTATTTCCTCTAATCATGAGCTTGCCCTGAGTGTCTGAGGATTCAGGCCAGCCAAGGTTGGTCAGGCTGTGGTGGGATGAGCTACTAACCGCCCTTCGGATCACGTAGGTATATGCGCTGCCAAAGTCGAGGTTGGAAGATTTGAAATCAGTTGGACAGTTTGGTGCAACCTCTGTGGTGTTTATTGTGTAGTGTTTTCTATTTTAAAAAAAAATAACAGTGGTTATGGTTCTTGGTGTTAAAAATCTCCATTTTTTTTTCTTAAGAAAAAGATGAGATGGGCTTGAACTTGAGAGCACGTTGCCCAGTAAAGGTACTCACTCGCCAGAAAGGAAGAACTGGTAGTTGGTGGCACTGTGACTGGTGACATTTTCATACACTTTCCCACTCATTTCGATGGTGATCATCTCATTAAGGGTGTTGACAAACCTGGAACAGAAAGCCACCTGTCTTGTAACCAATCCATGGAGTAATTTATCCTAGGGCACACATGCATATGTACGGGAGATTCCTAGGGTCTAGAGGCAGAAAGTCAGCTACCTTACAGTTGTTCCTGTCTACCTGCTCAGAAGCACACACCCTTAAAAGAATTTATCTAAGAGTATTTATCCATGCCAGGAAGTACTCTGAAGGCTCAGAAGTGTTGCCTAGTTTCCTGGTATTTAGGGGAATCCACTAGGTAGTCATAGAAACAGATACTGACTCCTTTTCTTTCTAAATGAGAGCCATGCTTTTGTGCTACTGAGATGGAAAGTTTCAGAGCTCAACAGGTGAACCACCAAAATATAGAAGTTGCTGGAAGACAGCCACCGGCAGAGCTTCCCTCAGGAGGAGAGAACCTGCCATTTTGATTACCTCTGAGAGCTTGGGGCAGGGAATGGATGCAAGATCCGAGAGAAAGAAGCTGGCTAGCCCAATAAGAAGAGACTGTCCTGAGTCACGGCCTCAGATGGGGGAGAGTTGAGTGGCTCTGGAGTGGTGCTGGCCAGCATCTGCTGAATGCAGGGAGGAATGGGTCACCTGAAAGGCCTTGGCGCTCATCCCAAGGCTTCTAGCCTTGGAAGGGTTAGGGTTGAACCTCAGGAGGAAGCAAGTGAGCTGCCTGCCTTCCTGGGACCATACAGAATGTCACGAGACAGATGGCACAGGTGTTTCCTTAGATGCTCCGTGCTGGAGAAGACCTGAAGTTCTCATACTGCTCTAGGGATGGACATGTTGCTGCCCTAAAGGAGATCAGCTGTTTGTTTTGCCCACAAAATAGGCAGGTGACAGATTATAGCAGATTGTCCAATACATAGAACAAGAAGTAATAATGACAGCTGGCTAAGTACTATAAAGACAACTCTGTCTAAAATACATGGCCATTTTTATCAGCTTCATAGTGTTGCGGATTGGTTCTCATGCTATTTGTGTTAATTCGGCTCCCAAATCACATGGGAACCTGCCTGTAAAACACTGAGAGTCCCTGCCCCCAGTTGGCTCTAATTGGTAAATAAAGTTGCCAGTGGCCAATGGCTGGGCTGGGAGACGGATGAAATATAGATTTTATTAAGTAATAATTTGGGAATATTGGTGGGTAGGTATTAGCATTGAGGAGGTTTAGATGTGCTCAGCCATTGTGTTGTTTAAGGCATAGTAAAATAGAAGGCTGTGTGTGTGTGTGTGTGTGTCTTTCTTTTTGGAATCTAGAGCATTTTGGCGAGTAGGGAGTAGTGCGTAAACACCCACCAAGAGTTTACAGTGGATTAACAACTTACTGTTTCATCATGGCACATTATTATTTGATAGAACGGTCTATGTACACACAAATCATTTTTAAAGGACACCATATTAACATTTAATTTATTTATGAGTGAGTGTGTGCATGTGTAGTGCATGCAGGTACCCTCAGAGGCTAGAAGAGGGCATCAGATTCCTTGGAACTGGAGTTAGGTGGCTGTGAATTGCTTGACTTAGGTTCTAGAAACCACACTGAGGTCTTCAGCCAGCGTTGATACCCAGTCTTAACTCTTGAGCCATCTTTTCAGCCATGTGGGTACTAACTATATTCACATATCATGAATGCAGATTCGACATATTTTTTTACCAAATGTGATAAAAAATTAAAGACCACTTCCGTGGAGAAACTACATACATGCAAAGAAATAGGTAAAATACAGACTACGGTCATATTTTAAAAAAAGAAAAAACAACAACTAAGAATAACCTAAATTTCCTTGAAGAGATGGGTAGAAAAATGAGTGTGTCTATACATAGGAAGGCTTTACAAGGAGATAGATAGGCGCTGCAAATGTAAATATGGTCAGATATTAAACTGACATATGTTACGTAATATGATTTATAGTATTGTTATGGAACAATATATGCCTGGGACAGTTAACTTTTATATTATTCCGTTTAAAAACACGCCAAGCAGCGTACTTTTTATGGAGACGTAACAAATGGCAATACACAGTGTTAAAATGCAATGGAAAGCAGGATTAAATTACCAACCAGTTTTTAAAAGATTTGTTTGTTTGTTTGTTTGTTTATTTATTTATTTATGTTTTTCCAAGAGACGGTGTTTTTCTGTGTAGTCCTGGCTGTCCTGGAACTTACTCTGTAGACCAGGCTGGCCTCGAACTCAGAGATCTGCCTGCCTCTGCCTCCCTAGTGCTGAGATTAAAGGTGTGTGTCACCACCATCTGGCCTTATTATTTTATCTATGTGTATGTGCCTGTGTGTGGCACATGTGTGTGGATGTTGGCAGCAGATAGAGAGGTCTGATCACCTGAAGCTGGAGACATAGCTGGCTGTGAGCCCGCCTGGTGGCATCTGGGACTGGACTCAGCACCTTCGCCAGAGCAGAAAGTGCTCTTGACAATGGCTGAGCCATCTCTTCAGCCCCTCAACCTATTTTGACTAAAGGCTTGCCTATGTTTAAATCTTTCAATTTACTGAAAGTGTACAATAAAAATGTATTCAACTTACTGATAGTGTAATATAAAAATTTAATTGCTTGAAATTTTGTATTTCCTTCCTTTAATTTACACATTAGTCAGAAAGTCTGATTTTTGTGGAGGTTTTGAAGTCTGCTCATGAGTCTCTCCTAGTTTTCTAGAACCTCCTCTTTAGCATTGTCTTCAGGTACTACAGAAGCAATAGAATCTTTCGCTCTATCAAGGATTTGGTGTTGCTACTCAATAGAAAATCGATTCTGACGGTTTCTGACTCACGGTTGGAGGCGTCGACAGGTCAACAACAGCTAATGCCACTCCTCATCTCTGTTCCTCAATCTTCTATCAAAGATATTTTAAAATCTACAACCTCCCCATGTAGATCACACACAAAGACTTTTAATTAAATTAAGCTTTTAAGGGGAAAAGTGATAACTCAGTCAGCAGAGTCCCTCCCTCAAAAGCAGGAACATCCCAGTTCAGTCCTCAGCACACGTGTAAGCTTAAAGCTTTGGGGCAGAAGCAGATACAACCTGGGGGACGGGGTAGCTCACTGATCAGGACATCCCAGATGCCATGAGTGCTCTCAGGAAACAATGCGGATCTCTGAAGATGTGAGAGTTGATTTCTGGGAGCCAAATGCATGCACAACGCGCCTGCATGCACATGCACGCGCACACACATGCACACACACATGCAGACGCACACACACACACACATGCTTTAAACACTAGTGAGATATCTCAGCAGTTAAAGTTTCATGTTGCCAAGCCCATTGACTTGAGTTTGATCCCTGAAGCCCACGGGTGAAAGGACAGAGCCAACTCCTGTAAGTTGTCCTCTGACACATGTATGGCAACACATGCATGCCCACACACGTACAAGTACACACATACTAAATAATAAATTTTGGCAGACAAATTGGCTCAGTGTGTAAAGGTACCTGCCTCCTAGCCTGACGTCCTGAGTTCGATCCTTACTACCCACATGGTGTCATGGTGTAAGATGAAATCAGCTCCTGGAAGCTGTCTTCTGCCCTCCATACTCACACATACATACATTAAATACATACATATACACACATAAACAAACAGACAAACAAATAAATAAATAGCCTAAATACTGTGATCTACACTGTCCAAACTTTCCAATGTTGGGAAACGTTTCTAAAGAAATCAAAACAATGAAAATATTATTCTGAGAACAAAATGAAACCCCAGAGATGCTTCTAGTTCAGTGTCAATTACAAAGCACAGGGCAGCTCTGTGTGCGTGCGTGTGCGTGTGTACATGCGTGTATGCATGTGCATGTCTTGTGCAGGACAAGATGGGCAATTACTAATATCCAAAGGAAGGACTATGGACTGAGAGGTGTCATCATGACACCTCAAAATGAGATTTTCTTTAGAGAAAAGGCCTTAAGGAAGGAAAAGAAGCTGTTGGAGGGCCTTAATCTGACATGACTGATTGGTGTCCTTACATGAAGAGATTACATTACAGACACACAAAGAGAAAAAAGATGGCTATCAACAATCAATCAAGGAGGGAGGCCTCAGAAGAGACCAGTCTTCAGGGCACCTTGATCTTGGACCTTCAGCCAGAGGAACTAGGAAAACATGAATTTCTGTTTAATTGAATCACCGGGCTGTGTGGCACTTTGTCCTGAACCTCAGGACAGACAGGCACCAAGAAAATGAGAGAAGGAACCAAAAACCAAATGGTCTTATGCTGGTGAGATGAATTACACTGATTTTAGTTACCCTGGAGAACCCTGGGACTGTCAAAGTCAAAGATTAAGACACCAGAGGCTTGGTGAGAAGCTGACCGTTAAGTGAGTGCCTGCAAGTCAGAAGCCAACAGAGAAGTCTCCAGACCTCCGGGACTTTACAACCATGTGTGGGAGAAGAGGGCATTTTCAGGCCTGCCTGGGCGAATAAAAAGACACCACAGGATCCAGGAAAGGTAGTTTCCTGGGCACAGCGGTGATGTCTCCAAGGACAGTATCTGGAGAGATACAGAGCATGTGCTTGTGGTAGCTCCCAGAGAACGAGATAGAAAAGTGGTCCCCAGGGAGGACCGTTGATGCTCTGGACACTGTAACTAACTAGACACTTAGTGACCAGGTTAAAGGCTAACATTATTTGTTTCATGAATGAATGCTAAATCCTATAGATTATTTTTCTACACCAGTTGATAATATGGACTTTCTTCTCTAAGTTATGAATTATGCTGGTTGATCCAATCTTGTATTCTTGGTACGCACTTGACACTTTCACACCCTTGTCACAACTGGGCTCCGTTAAAGGAATGTGTTAAGCTCTGTTAGAATCGAGAAGAACCAGTTTCAAAAGAAATCTCCATACCTGATTCCGTTCTCTCCTTTCTCTGGCTTTTGGTTAAGACCATCGTTTACCTAAGAGAGAAGAAATAATATAAAAATAAACTTTTCTGACCCAGAGAGATGGCTCAGTGTGTAGGGCACCTGCTGTGCAAGCCTGGCCCTCCAAAAAGATGGGAGGAGAGACTCCACTTCACACAGTTATTCCCTCACCTCCAAACATGCACTGTGGCACGGGTTCACTGCTCTCTTATGTGACCATTATATATGTGCATATATAAACACACATGCACATATAATAAATAAACAGATAAGTAAATTTCCTGATATTTAGCTCATTAGAATCAATTCACACTAACGCTTCAGACTTTGAGCACACGAAACTGGCCCTTGTCCTGGGAGATAAGTGTTCTACTTCTTCCTTCTTGTTTTCCCTTCATGCTAACACATGTTTCTCCTTGATAGACAGTGGCTCCAAAGGGTATGACTCTCTAACAATTTAGATTACCCTGACCTTCAGACATGGCAACACTGTGTTGTCAACACGGAGTTGGAGTTCACTTTGAGAACTGTACAGATGAATCAGGAAAACCACTGGAAAATAAATCTCATAAGCCTATTTTTGCTAGGTCACATTTACAGCTTTGCTGGGGTGTGTCAATCTGTGGGCCACAGGCTGCATATACCTGATAGAACAAGCCACCCAAGAGCTTGCACTTTATCTCAAAGTCTGAGAATGTGCATATGTGCTCATGTGACTTACATGTATACATGGAAGAGTCCATGTACACATAAGCATGGGCACAGACTCATAACACAATTATATTATTCATTTACATGTATATTTTTACAAGTTTTTTTGTTTTGTTTTTACACAGGGTCCCACTCTGTAGCCCTGGACAGCTTGAAACTCAAAGAGACCCTCTATATCTTCTTGAGTGCTGGAATCAAAGGTGTCTGACGCTATCCCTAGCTAAGATAGGGTCTTCCTATGTAGTCCAGGCCAACATCTGCTTCCTGAGAGCTGTAAAAAAAAAGATATGGACCACCACAGCCAGTTCCTAGTTTTCTTTTTAAAACATAATTGACAGTAATACTTCTTCTCCACCAGCCAGACCTTTACTGGGAGTCAAGTGTCTTGTGCTCCTCAAGAGTTTGAAGATTGCTTAATACAGTGCTCAATATTGGTAAAGGAAAGCCACACCAATAAAAAGCTGTACCCTGTGGCTGGAGACATGGCTCAGTGGTTAAGAGCACTTGCTGCTCTTGCAGAGGACCTGGATTCAATTCCCAGCACATATATGGTGGTTTACAACTCTCTGTAACTCCAGTACCTGGGGACCCGATGCCCTCTTTGACCTCAGACACCAAGTACCCATGTAGTACACGTATGTACATGCAGATAAAGCACTCATACACATAAAATAAAGCCTAAAAATTTTAAAAAACTGTGTCTCTGATATTGCAAATAGCCAAGAAACAGCTGTACTTACCACAAGGTATTCACTGGGGTCCCACACTAGAAGGGTGTGCCGCTGACCCTGCTCAAACTGAGGAGCTACTGTAGCGACTCCTGAGGATCCAGAAGAAGACACGTTTATGCTTGTCAACTTGTCTATATCAAAAGTCATGAACGTGTCTGTCTGGAAACGGGGGAAAGAAGGCAGGAGGCAGAGTCAGCACTGTGCATTTGGACACTGTCATGTCACAGTAGATGGTGTCCTACATTGCAAAGTTCATGGTCATACACATCCAAAATGCCTTGTAGGGACTTAATACCTGGCCTCCTATCCCACAGACACTGTCATAAGGTTCTTTGTGTATTGCCACAGAAACTATACTGTAATTTTGTTTTGCTCTAAGGAAATACATGCTGTGAACATCATTTATAACCCTATAAATATACTATATTATACTGTGTATAGTATAACATACTATATAGTGTTATAAATACAGTACTACATTATACTACTATATACATATACTATAGTACTATACAGTACTATAACTATATTATATACAGTATAATATACTATATAGTATTGTAAATATAGTACTATATTATACTACTACATTATATTATTATATACATATGCTATAGTACTATACAGTACTATAAATATACTACATTAAACTATATACAGAATAATATACTATATAGTACTATAAACATAGTACTATAGTATAGAATGGTACCAGAGGACTGGGGCTGGAGAGATGTCTCAACAGTTGAGTAGCTGTTCTTCAGGAAGACATAGGTTCAGTTCCCATAATTCACATGGTGAATTACAACCACTTATAATTCCATTTCCAAGGGACTTGATGTTCTTTTCTGGCCTCTGAAGGCACGAGGCACATATATGGTGAACAGGCATATATGCAGGCAAAAGACCAATATATGTGTGTGTGTGTGTGTGTGTGTGTATGTATGTATGTACACACACACAACCACATGCACACACACACACCACCACCACCACCACCACCAAAGGAAAAGCAAAAGTTCTGGTGAAATCATTATGGGGCTACTCTGACCACTAGGAGTCAGACTTTTAACTCCTTCTTCAAGGTCATTGGCTTGTCAAGGTCTAAGTCCACTGCTCCAATGGTGGTGGATCAGGAATGAGAGTATATGAATCCACACCACTGGGGTGGACCTCAAGGCTCTCCATGTGACCAAGGCTGGGAACCAGAGGTCAAGGGCAATGACCTCTAGAGCAGGGTTTTCACAGAGGCACTGTGTATACAAGGACAGATAATTCTTGGCCTGGAGACTGAGTGCCAGCACCTCTGACTTCTATATATAAAGTGCCAGTAGCACACTCTTAGTTTGCAACAACTAAGAATTATCTGTAGAGACTGTAACATCTCCTCAGGGATATCAGCACCCCTGCTTGAAACCATGGGACTTCCCTGCTGTTGAAAGTGCCAGAGTGATCTGTACCCACACTTGAGTTAGAGGCCCATGGGTTTAGAAAGCATTATGAGGTGGCCGCTGACTTGTGTTAATCTTGGACAGCCTTTGGGGTTTATACAAGGACCAATAAGAACAGCTCCTCAGAGCTGTGTTATAACTCGGGTGGGTAGATGAGATACAAGGTCCTGTTTCCTCCTACTTACCTGAGACATTTGGGCAAGTGTCACATTCTCTCCAGGAAAATACACGGTCATGTCATTGTTTCCGATGTTCAAGACCTTAATTTGGACTTGATTTCCGCTAGGGAAGACTGGAAGAGTTTTCTGAGAAAAAAAAAAAAAAAGAGATCCACAGTGAGGACTCCCGTGGACAGTCACTGTCACCTCAGTTCTGGAGACTCTTTCCTCTGCAATCTACAGCTTATCCGGAGACACATGACAAATACCTGGCTCAGCGTACTGGTCACATTGCATGGCAATAGAACTTTATTTAGCCTTAAAAGCAAAGGGAATCTTTTTATATCCTCTAAAAAGGGTGAACCTTGAGGGCATTATAAAATAAGCCAATCATAAAAGGGTAAATGTTCCGTGATCGTGGTCATGTGGTTTGCCTGGAGCAGCATCCTAGAGACAGATGGTAGAATGAGGCCCACCAGGGGTTTGGGGAGACAGAGCAGGGAGTTGGCATTGAATGACACAGAGGTTTGGTTTGGGAAGATGGGGAAGTTCTGGAAGTATGTGTGGCGAGGATTCCACAGTAGACAGAGCTGCACTGAGCTGTATTCTTAGAAATGGTTAGGATGGGAAATATCATTTATAATTTGTTCACTTCCATGAAGTGTGTGTGTGT